AATTTTCTTCACTTTTTTTAAATGAAAGTGCTTGTTGCATATGAACACCACTAAACGTTTTAAAGCATACCGGTCACTCAACAGTCCACATACAAAAAAAACTAAGCTGCAAAAACTGCCCATTCCTGAACTCACTATTTTTGTGACGTCATGAAAGCCTGAGAAGAATAAAAGATGTTTATCAAGCTGATGTTCTTTATTTTGCCTACGAGGTAATAGATTCAGTGACAAATGATAGCCCTGCGATGGACTGGCGACCTGTCCAGGGTGTATCCTGCCTTCCGCCCAATGACAGCTGGGATAGGCTCCAGCACCCCACCGCGACCCAGAAGGATAAGCGGGTAAGATGATGTATGTATATGTATGTATGTATAGGTAATAGATGCTCGCCTACTAGGTTCTGCACTGTAGAAAAAGCCCCATTACAACCAAATCATAACAAACTGAAAACAACAGGCTTCCCCTTCCCAAGGCATCTGCTTCTGAGGCACGCTCCTCAGGAGGAGCTCTAGTGACGTGCCTTTGAGGTGGATATTCGATAATGGCAGCCTGGCTAAGAGGAGCTGTGTCTATAAATACTGCAGGACAGCCCTGCACTCTCGCTCGCTCTTAATGCTCGGAGAGCTGCTGCTCTGGCACCAGAGAGCTGGCAGTCTCCTTCAGCCTCGCTCGCCCTGTCAATGAGATCGCTGCGCTGTAGGGTGGGCCTGTTCTGACTGGGGGCTGAGAGTGTGTGTGTGTGGGGTGTGTGTGTTTATTTTCAGTCATTATCAGGGCACAAATCCTTTCTGTAGGAAAACTAAGAAACACAGGACGAACCTACAGAATCAGAGGTATCCTGATTTTAGTAAGCATTTTTACAAAAGTTACATGATTCATGTTTTTAAATCAGAAAGAATAATTCAGTCAATGAGATGTAAACAAAGTCAGATTTGGTGGACTGTAGGGGAAATTTAAAATGGACACTCTACAGTGGTGGTGATGGGAACCAGAGGTCATGAGGTCTACAGCACAAATACAGCCACTTGATTTACTATCCAAAACAACCAGCCAACTTGTGTTCTTTTTTTTACAAGTAACACTGATGGTTAAATTAAAAAGAATGTTTTCTTTGGCGGGCTGTTTTGCTTTACAACACCTTGCATGTACCTCTCTGCCATAAATGGATTTGGAAAAAATGGGGGAAAAAAAAGGTCAAAATTATGGTCAAAAAACAAATATGATCACAAAATAATGTCTCAGGCATTAGGCAGCATATTCATAACCGTTTTAAGTACTAACTTCATGCTTGAGCCTTTTAGAGGCTTTAGAGACAACTTCACAGACATCTGGTTCCTGTCACCAGCACTGTGAACAATACTGACTCCAAGAAATTTAGGAATAAATTTGGTGGAAGATTATAGCGATTATTCGGCTTTTAATTTTGGGATTTAGATATTTTTTGGCTAAATGTAAGCTAATCAATAAAGGCGAACTGTAAAACACTGTAATGTTCGGGGTTCTTGAGAGAAACTTAGACAACTCTGGGTTAGGGTTCATAACTCTCAGTCTAGCTTTAGTTTAATTTGCTAAAAACAGCACCAAACTGCAGCCTCTCCAGCGCTAACAGCTAAACACCCAGCCCTCTGCTCTTTCCCACAAAAGACAACACTCAACCTGTATTCAGGCTCAACATAAGTACTTGTGTGAATGAACCTAAAATAGCCCTGCATAAACATTTCTTCTCTTTAAAAAACCTGAACTACTTGGTGACTACTTGAACATGACAACACCACAATACATTTCGTCAGCACATTCTTGAACTATATCAGTACTTTTTAATTGCACTGTCAAAATGTGGAAGTACATACCATCTCAGCTCGGGCGCCTGACGTCCCGTTCACTCACAGCAGTGAACAACATGCTAATGCAGTCCTAGACAGCATGCATTCCCAGGGCGGCTCCAAACAGTGCTCCGCCGTACTGAACCCTTACTAGGGCTGCGAAGCATGGCCTTCGTACCTCGAGTCAGACCACGTCCATGAAGCGATGGTTAACGCGTGCATGTATTTTGCTGATACCCTCTATCCCACCGCTAATAGAGGCTAGCGGGCCTGGTAGATGAAGTGAAGACGTGCTGTGAGCCCTCACACAAGTGTCTCTTGAATTTTCATTTCAGTTCATCACTGATAATGTCAGAACTATACTGGTATCAACAGGTAACCAACTAAAAAAAAGTTTAGCATTGGTCATACGTTTATAGCTGACCAATATTTCAAACTGATATTTAATAATGAAGAATACTTATTTGGCACAGGGCTACTGCACTAAAATACCTGCAATGTATTTATTTTACTGCTTTTTACTCTATAGACATAAGCCCATTGTTCGCTATAAGAGTAACCCAGGCAGATGATGTCCCAGTTTCTAAAATTTTATAAACGTTTATGGATTACTTGGCATCGGCAGATATGCACGTGAAAATGATCAGATTCAGCATTGGCCCACGTCCCACATCAGTGCATCCCTTAATAGATTTGATTAAAACTAAGCCTAAATCTACACCTTAACTTCAACCCAAACCCAAACCTAGCATTTCACCAGATAAGTTCGTTAACAATTTGAGCCTCTTTAGATAATCTACCAGGGACTTATTACTGCATGTATGAAGGTGGTTATTCAAGGTCAGCTTTAACCTCTGACCTGTGCTTTCAACATGGGTAATGCGGATCCCCCTACACAGGGCAAAGCTCTGAATATTCAGTGTTGATTACTGCCAAAGCTCAGGACAGCCCAAGAAGTTTAGGGCTAGGCTTAGGAAATTCACTGAGCATATACTGACATATACTGTATGTATGAGACATACTATTCAATACATATAAGTACACACATTCACAATACATACAGAATGTGTTATTATATACAGGTACTTAAAGCTTTATAATGCATATATGATCCCTTACATGGGTACAAAAATACAAAACTTCTGTACAATAGAAGTTGTATACAAACAACTGCGTATGGTGTGAGTGAAAGAGTGAGCAAGTGAGAGAAGCAGCAATTCTTAAAAGTCATCCTTCCAGTTCACTGATCAAATAGACGCGAGCATTCGGGCTTTGACCAAGCTGTTCATCCTTTTCATTTAAGGGCTTAAAAAGGATCAAAGATCAGCCTCCTGGCCCTGAAACATGTACGGCAATTTGATTCAGCCAGGCCAGCTGTTCCACCTGCTTTACCGACCACACAGCTTCAAGATCCATCCTTCATCAGCTCACTCACAAAGCAGAGATCATTCTGATCAAAGTAACAAATGTACTGAGACATATTTCTTAAGAAATAAGCCACCATTCTGTGTCTGCAAAGACTGCTTACAATCATAAAAGCTGGGCAAAAAGAAGAAAAGCTATAAAACCCTTTCTACAGCAGCTCGCAAAAAGTTTTGAGAGAGATTATAATGGAAATAGGCCTTCGGACTTATCTGGAATAATGGACTTTGCTTGGAAATCTCTGATGCATTTTAGGATCATTTATTTCTAAAATCACAGGTAAATATTATTGATTACAGAAGCAGGTACGTCGGCAATTCTTGATGAAAATTGTTTTAAAAATTTGATGCATTCCACTGCTAGTCCACTGTACAAGCTTCGTAGATGCTCACCTTGTGTTTAACGTACAACTAAACGTATATATCAATCATTAACTGATTGTTTTAAATCCTGTACAGCAAATCACAAATAAGACATAAAACTCAATATCTATTACTAATTATCTTGTTAAACTTTAGGATCTAACATGCATTGGTAAGATCCTGCTGGTGTGGGTTCACTCTCCAAATAACAAATAGCTGTTTCCTCTCTAAACAACGAATAATAAAGCGGCTTGCGTGCTGATGCCCCTGCTGGAGACACTTCATACTGTTAGCTGGAAAATGCTTATCCACATGCTTTGGACATCAAAAAATGAGGTGTTTTAAGCCATTACACTGGGGGAGCTCTGAAATTCAGTTTTAGACACCTTTGGAAAACCATTAAGTATTAAATTTTCGTAATTTTATAACTTTTATTATTTAATATTATCTAGCAAGAGGTTTAAAATTAAATTGGTCCTCTAGTCCTTTCAGTTCTCTTACTCAATATAGTGATTATTGCCTTTAAAGTATCATCCGCATGATGATATTTCAAAAGCATAAATAAACGCCAAATTACATATAAAAGAACACTTTCTTTTGATTTTCAGTTTACGCCTGTGTGTGTCCTGAATTTTCGTTTTGGTACATCACTGATAATAATAAGAACCATATCGGCATCAACTGTTAACAGACTGAAAAAAGTGACTTAGCATTGGACATATATTTATAAACTGACTGATATTTCAAACGGATATTTCATGATGTATTTATTGCACTCTGGAAGAGCACAATATTTATTTGACACTGGGCTACTGCACTAAAATACATGCATTTTATTAATTTTATTCTCTAATGGTGTCCCAGGTAGTTGTTGTCCCAGTTTCTAAATTTTATAAACATTGATGTATCACACTGGTATCGGCAGATATGTACAAGAAAAATATCGGATTCGGCATTGGCCCACGATTCCCATATCAGGGCCCCCTTTAATAGCTCCTATTAAAACGAAGCCTAATTCTACACCTTAACTTCACCCCAAAACCTGAACCTAGTGCTTCACCGGACAGTTTGTGAACAATTTGAGCCTCTCTAGATAACCTACAGGGGACTTACCACTGCATGTATGAAGGCGTTTACTCAAGGTCACCTCTAACCCTGACCTCTGCTGAACTGCAACCCACTAGTCAAGCCCTTCCTCCACCGTCTCTCAGCTAAGAGGTGAAGCGCCACATCAAAACCGTCAGAGCTCGCCGCCCCCGTGGTTCTCACAGCACACAGAGCAGGCGAAAAAAAGCCACACAGGACGAGGAGTAGGAAAAGACTCTGTACACACAACTCTCCTCCAGCGGTTGACAAAAGCAAAGAACAGAGAATCTGTGATGATTACGCTTACCTGAGTTTCCCAACTGTTTATAAAATCTGTATTCCAAGTGTAGCTGTGGTGCCCTGGACTTAATCGGCTCCTGAAAGAGAAAAACATAAGAAACAACATCAGGGGGGGAAAAAAAGACCCAAAACACTCACTGCAAACCAGTAACGTGACAATCTCACACTGTTGACTAAGCAAAATAAACCACTGGCTTTGGGACGCAGTGAGAGACATACTGAAATATAAATCAGAAGAAAAGAAAAATCACTCTTCTTCCAAAAGCCAGTAGCGTGTAGTAGAGATTACTGTCTGTATAAGAGATGTGTGACATAACATTCCACTAGCCGAGCCATCATGTTAAGAACTTAAATCTTCATCTGAGGCAGCTTAGAAAAACCCCCCCGCTGTTAAAAGAGAAATGACGGAACAGTGTTGCATTTTTGTAAACACATCTACCAGGAAGTTGCTCAAGCAGTCAGCCTGGGTTTAGCCACTCGTTTGTTTTCATTTGCTTCATGAAAGCAACTTTGATAATGTTCGCATTTAATACATTAGAAAACAAATTAAATCAAGTATGACAAGGAAAACTGCTTTAGAACTTGTTCTATCACGGTTTAAATGATGCAGCAATGATAATTCAGAACTACAGCATTCAAAATAAAAAAAAATCTGCAAGAACCGATGAACACTATTTCAAGCTCACTAATTACATCAATACAAGGCCATTAATGTCAAACATGCAGGGAGAAAGGAACTGAACGGGAAATGACTCAAAACAACACTGCACCACTGCTCTAATTGCCAATCAGTAGTAATCACCCTCCCCCTTGCTTAAAAAATAAAAATGAAAATGGGAGAGTGAACGCTTAGAAAGCTTTCCAGTGGTTAATGGTATGTGTCAGGGAAAACCCTGAGCAATGCTTCCATCAGCTCTACAGGCTCTCAGGTTACAGAGGAGCGTCCATCTGGCACCAGTGCGACACCCAGCATGCACTGGGAGTGCCGCATTCAGGCTCCAGCAACATCTGCTGGCAGGAAAACGCCCAAGGAAACGTGACCACTGAACAGTGGATCTCCAGACTCACAAGCCAGACCCTGGAGTTCTCAATGTCTTGAAATGTCCCATAAATGCTCGATTGGGCTCATGTTGGGCGAACATGCAGGCCACACCATTCACTGGAACTCTCCAGAATGCTCCTCAAACCAATTCTGGACTACTTGGGCCCAATGGCACAGTGCATTATCCTGCTGGAACACCCCATCTTTGTGGGGGTACATGAAGTCCATGAAGGGATGCAAATAGTCACCAAGCAGTGACTGTCACCGGTCAATGACGCGTTTAGGCGAACTAGTGGACCCAACCCATTCCATGAGAAGACACCCCACAGCAGTATGGAACCACCACCAGCCTTCACAGTACCTTGTTGACAACTGGGGACCATGGCTTCATAGGGTCTGCGCCACACACAAACCCTACCATCAGCCCGAAACAATTATTACTGTGATTCATCGCCACATGTTGCCAGTTCTCTAGGGTCCAGTCAGCAACCTCACGAGCGAGGCTCCACGCTGTGTCCAATGTTGTGCTGTTAACAGAGGCACTCTGGTGGGTCTTCTGCTCCCATATCCCATGGAAGCTAAAGAACTCTGCACTGACCTGAGGGATATGGGTGTGGGGCCTCCTGCATTGAATGTGGATGTGATTTCTGCCAGAGTCGCACAGACAATTCTAGGCAGATGCTGCCGGTCACGGTCATTAGGCATCCTTGGACATCCACTGTGGGCGGTAATGCTTTCTATGATGTATTCCTGGTACACACGTCACACTGCGGACCAAGGAACGTTAAATGCCCACACAAATTCGGAAATGGAACGTCCCATTCGTCTGGCACCCACTATCATGCCTTGCTCAAACTCATAATAATTCATATCGCCTTGCTATGAGCATGCTGGCAAGTGTTCACTCTCAAGATAACACCTCACAACTTATACAGGTGTGGGTGTTCCCAAGGCGTCCCCTGAGGTAACACCACTTAAATCAATTTACACACTGCTATGCTATGACTATTGGCACAACAGTGTAATTACCCTGAAAAGTGAAACCAAAAACTGAAAAAAGTTAACAAATTAAAACAGTTTACATAAAATAAACTTACTAAAATTAATATTATGGTTCATCGACTAAGGCCATGATTTCCTTTTTTATTTTTTTTAACAATTTGCACTTTGGCAGTCATTAGTAAATTTTCCCCATCAAACACTCAGGCTACAGATACAATCGGCATGCTAACAGGACTTTCTGCTCCTGTTGTTTTGCTGTATTCCGCGTATCAAGTGGAATCAAATCTGCAATGGAGAAGTTGTTGGGTGTTGTTCTTCCTCTTTAGTCTCAACATGAACAATGATTACAAGTCTCTTCTCTAATGTACCTCACAGAAACTAAGAAGTAGTTCTACACAGCTGGCATTTTCACTGTTGCTCTGCTGCTGCTTAAGCTGTTTGAAAGCGCCAGTGAAGAATGATGTTGGCTTCATATTTGCCAGTTTATTTTCAGTTCCACCTTAAATGGTGAGGTAATTACATTCTGGTTTCCACAGTCAAGAATCAGCTTTGTGGAATGTTAAAAGAAACAAACAGTGTTATTAATCACTAAATCACTAGTTCTTAATAATCTATCACAGATATGCACCTTGTTCTTTTACCAGGGAAACCACTGCCAGTGATCAAAACTAGGCATATGGATGCAACCTATCGCAGTAAAGTGGGCGAGGAAGGGGCGGGGCTTATGCTATGCACACCTGCTCAAATGACTGGGCTTTTTGGAATTGCTTGTACATTTTTCTGCAGGTGATTTTTCAGACTTGTTTTGTTCAAGGCTTTCGTGCAGCAGCAATTCAGAAATATGTGAGAACTCTACAAAACAAAAAATAAAGTTTTCATTCATTTCAATTGTATCAGATCTTCATTAATATATTATAGCTAAAAAATAGTGATGCACCAAAATGAAAACTGAAAGAAAGCATTCTTCTTAGATATAATTTGCAGTTTTATTTATACTTTTGAATGAATGTAATAATGCTGATGATGCTTCAAAGGTGATAACCACTATGTTGGGTAAGAGAACCAAGAGAACTAGAGGACTTAATTTAATTTTAAACATCTTGCTAAATAATATTATACATTAAAAGGATTCAAATCTAATACTTCAGTATTATGCACTGAAGTTATGGCTAAAAATCATGTAAGCTAAAGCCTGAACAGAACAGAAAACTAAGCTGCAGCCACCTGTGTTTGAGTGTTTCAGTGTTTCATTGCTGATGATCGGCTGCTAAACCAATGTGAATGCATCCACACTGACCAGCAAAGGAGTGTTTTCAATCATCATTTCTTATTTTCATTCATAACTCAGATTATTAGTTAAAGCTGCACTATGCAGAATTTGGGGATTTGGAGACTTCAACATACATAAGAACATTCAGCTGTGCTTCAGAGCCCACGAGCAGATGAATCTGATGATTCCAAATGTGTTGAAGAAGTACTGAAAGAGTCCAAACTTGGTGACGGATGTGCCTTCCAGCAAATATGAGTGAATCATCTACTACTGTCATCAAATCTTCATCAGTAAAATGCTGGCTTCACATTTGAGATCTAAACATCAAGCTGGACCACCTTTTTGAGCCTGTGCACGTGACGTCAAGACACATGATGTGGTCCGAAACCTCAAGAAATCTGATCCTGATCTATTAAAATTTTAATTATTTCAAGCTTTACAGAGCGACTTGCAGCAGCTCGCACACAACATATTTTAGCCTTTCAACAAAAAATCTTCTGATTTTTTTTTTTAGCAAAATTTCCAGCCTTTTTTCCTCTTTCCACTTTTGATCATATTTAGCCAAAATATTTCATGGCATCGATACTAAATATGTGTATTGTTACAGTCCTACTGCTAGCACAAGTGTTACTACCCTAAACAGAAAGTGTTCAGAACTGTAAATGAAGGGCTTCGTCACAACAGGCTGAGCGGGATCAAGTCTATTAGAGCTATAAAAACACAAAAGTGGGCACAATGTTCTGAGAATGGAAACCTCCAGACTAGCAGAGTCATGCTGGACAGCAGAAAATGTTACCAGCCCACAAGCACAGAGGCTAATGCTGATAGCAAAGGAGACATATATAAATAATTTTGGAAAAAAAAAAAAAACAGATGGCTTACAAATAAGCCACCACAGTGCATCCTAAAATGCTTACTGTGAAGGAATACAGGCTCACAGCGGTTTAAAGCGCCTTCAATAAGCAAAAATGTATTTGTGGAAGCAGCCAGACTTCGTCACCACCCATCTCCCAACACTCTACATGCACTTTTAAACGATACACACATACACAATCGCTCCTTCACAGGTCATTCAATTTAAATGCAAGCTGTCACAGCAATCAACTTCATCTGCTGGACTGTGATGCAATGCAGTGGTCAATCACACACGAATGAGCCTTTCTTGGACAAGTGTGAAGGGATGTAGGAAAGATCAGGGAGCTACACTCCCTAACTTTTACAGCAGTAAAGAAGCATGTGCTCCCCTGCCCTGTCCCAGTGACCTCTGATCTCTCCCAAGCTGCCACGTCTGTCATCTGGACCAGCTGCAGTGTTGGAGAGCTCTTCAGCATCCAACAGACTTCTGCTGATTTCAGCTCTTCTCGCTCGTTCAGCTGCTGTCACACATTCGCCGATACACACCTGCCATTGCACACAAACACCGTACACAGACTAAAGCTGGGCAATTTATTGTCTACACCAATAGAGAAGGAGCACAACTTTACTGATTAGAGATGCACAAACATTTTAGCCAATGACAATTTTCAGCCGAACACTGTCAAAAATAGTACTTGCGGTTTTCGAAAAAGGTGAAAAGTGTCAAAATGTAGTTCTTCACAAATCACTGAAAATTTTATATACCAGCTTAAATGGTGCGGCAGTTACAGTCGCAAATACAAAGTTAACTTCAGCCGTGGTCGGTTTCCCACCCCAGTCTTCACAGGCGTGTTCAAATAGTTTGAGCGGCAGCAGGTCAACACCGTAAACGTCAGCCGTGTAGAACT